AGGATCGTTCAGAACTGATGATGCCATTCACGCAACACAACACGTGGAACTTGCAGGATGAAAACTAAAGCTGTCGCTTTGGTTTGTTAGCAATATGTTTTACCTAAACTACAAAATTTAGTCTGTCCGATGATACAATGCAAAAGTGAGTAACATTCAACGGAGCTGGTCGGCAAAATGGCGCTCTACCTGCAAGCTCATTTATTTCACTCTTAATGCATGTTTAACGTAGAAAAAGGTTTCCTCTGTGCAAATATTAATTTTACCCATGAGCCTATACAACTAGATTCTTTGAGATTTCAATATATGCAATAACATATTTCTTTACAGTATCATAAGTTTTCCCAAATACCGTAAGTATGGCATTTCTGTCATAAATAAATCTTACCATCGACCTTTCTATCAAACTTAAGAGAGATGTACCACACTTTTAATCTTCTGAATACATTTTAATATTTCTTCCTTTGGGGGGTTAATTAGAACAGGTAACACTTCCATAGCTACAAACCTTTCTGTTTTATTTTGTTTTGCGTGAAGCATTTGTCCCATTAGCCTGATCATTAAGCCATGAATGAAACCAGAAACCTTGCCTGATGGCTTTCGTTACTGTTGAAAGTGCAACACTGTTTTCTATTTCATAAAATCTGTCACATGGCTGAACACATGCAGCCAAGCTGCTGTGACTCCGTGCTGGAAGTTGGCATGCTCCTCTCATTCATTAAACCACTTCACACCGCTTTGAGGAACAAGCTTAGACATTAAAGACAAATGTTACATTTCTGGACGTAGACATTTTTAACCCTCTGCTGATTCCATCCAGGACTCATATCCTCGGCTTCGGCGCCCAGGCTGTTACACAGAAACGGGCTTCGGAACATGTGCTCTGCATTTGTTTCCTAGGATGCAAATGGCCTGGGCCTATGCTGACTAACACACAGAACACCAAAGGGATTTAGTAGCGTCGCACAGTTTGGCAAGCATTTCGCTGTGAAATTTGGGTCAAGATCAGAAAAATCATGCTGTTTTTAAAAATTCTTAACTTCGCACACTTGAACAGCTTTTCAGATTTTTAACCAATTTTACTGATGCTGAATCAGCCTGTACTTTAGAGTGAACATGCATAAATTGAGTTAATATCTTTATTTATCTGTGAGTAAATTTTCACATCTAATTTAGCCCATCAGTTAATGAGAACGAGCCTTCCGCCAATAAAGAGGAAACCCGAAACCGTTAAGCACAGCTACGTCTGTGATCAGCAGAGCCCAGTAGAGGGCTTTACTTCAGGGACATCGGATCCGTGTGAGGAGAACCAGAATGTTCTTTAAATTAGCATCACAGTGCAGCTTTCCAAAGCGCCTTCACTCTGCTTTGGCAGGCTTGTTTGGGAAACCCACAGAGAGATTAAAACTGGCAGTTGCTTCATTTTCCCTACAGATCAGTTACCAAAATTTATTTTTCCTTACATTGTTCATTGAGCCAAAAGAATGCTTACAGTACCACATGTTAGATTTGGGACTATTAGCCAGAATCACTTTAAAATGAAAAATTTTTGGAAAGTGTATTACAGCTCTAAAGAAAAGCAAGCCACTCAACTTTGTCTTGATTTTAAAAAAAACCACCTTTGAGAATGGAACAGAGATTGTCTTTTTTTCATATTTTTAATAACATTATTTCAGTGTGGATGTGTCCACTAGGATTTAAGTCACTTCCTCTTTGTTTTTGGTGGTTTGTAAATATTTGGGCATTATTTACATTTGCTTTTAGTTTTTGTATGCTCATATATGTCTGATATATATGCACATATGTGCCAAGTATATGTGCATAATTTATATGTACAATTAAATATAAATGTACCCCTGAGAGAGAGCTCTATTGCTGCTTCCCACTAGCAAATGAAAACAGTTTCTATGATTGCTTTTGGAACGAGTGAGCACTTTCAGGCAGAAAAGTGTTTGTCTATAAATTTGTTGGACAAGTAATTTATCCCATACTGAACAGTCACAAAAACTAGATAATATGTGTTAGCATTTCCCTTATAGACTCTCAATTAACGGAAAAAATTTTAAAGATGATAAGAAAAATCACTATTATAATTTAAACCTTGATGTATATAAATCAAGAGGATTATCATACACATTTCGGTTAAAATTTTAGAAGAATTTTAAGTTGCTTTATGATAGATGGAACCATACATCTATGTAAAATAAAAGCAAAGTCAGACCCAGCTGGGTACCTTCCCATCGCTTTTGGTATGATACTTTGGATTTCACCTAGATGATTAGCTAAGTCTGTCCCTCTCTGTTGCTGGTGTGCAAAACAGAATAGGCATTTAACAGAAAACAGATGATTCTCCTTGTCTCTCAGGGAGAGAAGGTAATATGAGCACCAGCACCTCATCGGGGAAAATCACACCTCTGACCACATGAACCTAGCCCTGGGTAAAGCCCTGGGCCCTGCAGCAAGGGACGGAACAGCCCACAGGGAGGCCACAGGTCCAGGTGTCTGGGAGGGAAAGCAAGCATGAAGATCACATAAGAAATGTGAAGAGGAAAAAGGAGCGAGCCACGGAACGCGTCCTTCAGGGCTTCCTCTCTCAGCTTGCTGATATTCGCCTTGCTGATATTCGCCTTGGCAGCGTCTCTTTGCTTAGCAACCCACCACAGAGAGACTTCAGACGCTCACACAGGGACATGCTCCCACGATGCTGAACCAAGTTTGAATAATCAGAAAGTTGCCTATTATTTATGACTTAAAAAATATTTTTTAGACTTGAGGCTGTAATCTACATTTTAGTCTTTATTTTAGAGTATTAATTGTTAGCTTCCCAAATCCACAAAGTCTTTTGCTGATCTAATTTTCATGTCCATATATTTCAATTATACCAGAAAGAATAATTTCTGAGCTGTGGAAATGTTTTATAGAATAAAAAAAGCCTATAACTTTGAAAATTTTGTGACTGTGAATATTAACTTTATGATGGCTATTATTTTATAGAGATGTATGGTACTGTTATAAAGCAACTTAAATTCCTCTAAAATTTTAATGGGAATGTGTATGATAATCCTCTTGACTTATACATCAAGGTTTAAATTATAGTAGTGATTTTCTTTACCATCTTTTAAAAATTTTCCATTAATTGGGAATCTATAGGGTAAATGCTAATGTGTTATTATTACTTAAATGCACAATAGAAATTCAATAAGTTAATTAATTACTTAATTTAAATATAGCAAGTGTAATGTACAAGTGGTGCCTCGGTTCATGAATTTAATTTGTTCCACGATTCTGGGGAGGAAGGCTGCCTTTGTGCTCACGTGGAGAAGATGGCTGTGATGGCACTCATGACCGATGTGTAGTTTGTGAACGGAACCAAAATTTTGCCAAACATTTCTGTGAGTGAGCCCAATTGTTTTTAAAAACAAGCATTCATGAACCAAGGTATTACTGTATTCATAAATCCTTTAAATAGTAAATCCTCCATAAAATTAGCTTATAAAATAGAAGCTTTTCTAATCTTCTAACATCAGCATTGAGGAAAATCCATTCATTTCATAAATGCAAAGAAATAACAACAGAAAGAAATATTTGTGATATGACGCTATCTATGTTTTAATGTTTTAGAAACCAAGTCTCTGGAGGTTTTTTCTGGGGAATTTTTATGCCCATATCCTGTACTTTGAGTAACTACTCTAAAGATAACAATATGCAATATATTAACTATTGTTATCTCCTATTACTTTGTTATGAAATTTTATTTTACTTTTTTTCCTCCATAAAATAAAAAAAGAGCTTTTCAGCCATAGATCACGGCCAGGCGTGGTGGCGCATGCCTGTAATCCCAGCACTCAGGAGGCTGAGGCAGGAGGATCCTTCCGAGTTCAAGACCAGCCTGGGTCACAAAGTGAGCTCGAGGCCAGCCTGAACTGCAGAGCAAGACCCTGTCTCAAAAAAGACAAAAACAAGAACAAAAACAGTCACAGATCATGACCTAACTCATTAAATATTTACCAGAAAAGGCCTGGGACTAGACAGTCCTCGGCATCTCTGCACCCTTTATCCTTAAAAGCACAGAATAATTTTACTGTCAAATGGTACACAGTATGTTTTTCTCAAGACTTTAAGTATGTGTGTGATCACGTTGTCCTTTACTCTTTCAGACATTTGCAGAGCTTGCCAAAATTTTATGACAAACATAGTTCTGAGCCAGCTTCTAATTAGTATTATATAAGCTATCAGACAAGGGAACCTCTTCTGTTTTCAAAACCAGAATACTTATCTTCCCAAAGTAGTATCTGTTGGTCAAACTTCATAAAATCCATCTTTACACCACTATATATTTATCTCAAAGTCAGTGTATTTTAAATCAACCTCCAAAGTATATTTCTTAACCGCTTTATTATGATTTCAACAAGGCATATTATTTAAATGATATTTGATTACTACCTTTGGGAATGCAAGAGGATTCAGAAGAAAATAGAACCTTTTAAAAATTAAAGGTACTATGTGCCAACCAGGGTCAGCACTTTATAAAAATAGGAATATGTACAATTACTCATACATGCAACTTCATCCCACAACAAAGGGACTGACTGACAATAAAGAGGAAAAGGCACAAAGTAGTTCTTTCCACTTCCCAGGACAACCATGGATCCTGCGGTCTTGTTCTGCTTTCCCTTATTTTAGTCACCAGTTGCTACCATCTGAGGCATTTTCAAAAGATCACAAAAGGGGAAAACATTAAATATTGGTACTAAGACTGTTGGTGTACTTGTTTCATTGTGCGGCGGTTAAAATAACCCAGGAGACGTAATTGTCCCAGACACAGTCTTAGGCTCTTTGTGTCTCTCCCATTCGAGTCTGCCCACAATCTTAGAGCATAAAAAAAATACCAGCTCTTTCCATAGGTGATCAAACTGATCACAAGGCACAGGTGCTAAAGGTCTGGCAGCCCGTGATGTCACAGAAGGTGACAGAACTTCTAACAGAGGCGGGGCCCGGCGAAACCAAGTCAGGTCATTCGGGGCAGGCCTTTGTTCTGGCCCTTGGGCTCCCTTTGCCTTCGCCCCCCAGCCCCACGAGTGCACAGCCTCCTCTGCCACCAGCTTCTGCTGTGACGGACTGTGACGCCACAGACCCGAAGCAACCGGGCCAAGAAAACAGGCAATGAAACCTCTGAAACTACAAACCCAAATAAGCCTTATTTTCCTTGTAAGTTGATTACCTCAAATAGTCATTTCCAGGCCAGCAAACTGACCAACACGCTGAGTACCTGGAGTAAAGTGAAGGGTGGAGCTGGACAGTCAGTGGACTTGGGCCAGCGATCACTTCAGAGGCCACGCTTTTCTCCACTTGGTAACCCTGAGCACCATCCACTCACTCCTTCCGTTCAGAGCCTGCAGGACACGGAGGCTAACTGAGTAGCGTGCCATAAACTTGAGTCTAGGAAACTGGCCTCTCTGCATGAGACACTGAGACAGTGGGTGGGATGGGCACAGGCGCAGGCGCCACGAGGGCCCCTATTTCCTCGCTGCCTCCGTTCAGAGCTGCCCCTCTGCGCTGAGCCGAGACGTGCCCGGGCCTGTCACACTCCCGGAAGTCCAAAGCCCCTGCTCCATCCCCACTCGCACCCATCATAACCCCTGACGGTCTCGACCCTTCGGGCCCGGGGCAGGGAATCCGGCCGCTTTTTGCTCTGAGTCCTGCTCCTACCTGTTTGGTTAAGATTCTCCTCATTTGAATTGCAGCACAGTTTTCAACCTTGTAGTCTTTCCCGGGCATTTCAGGGAGATAATTAGTACCCAGGGGAGCTGGTTTGAGTAACCATTTTCCCGGTCCCCCCAAAGGGAGTGTGTGGCTGATACCGTTCTACCTGCAGAAAAGATGAGGTCATGTATTACGTTCAGTGGATGTCTTTGGGCCTTAGGGCTTAAGTTCCTCTATTCCGAGGTCTGGTGGAGTTTCTCATATGTAGTGTGTGTCTACTCTGTATAACGCCCAGGATGACAGCATCTTCATGACTTCCAGGAAATTATTTTCAGATATCTTTGGGTTTTATTTCCTCCCTTTATTTCCTTTCCCTTTGCTCAGTCAGGTATAGGCCCCTCTACTCATTGCCTTGGGAAAGTCCTGTAACAAGATATAAAAGGTAAAGAAGCTGCGTCCCTAAGGAGCCCAAAAGATCTGCTATCTATACCTGCACTCCCCTCCACTAGTAGGGGCCTGTGGTGGGTTGATAACTGGTGGTCAGCTTGTAACAACCAGCCGAACCAAACCAGTGTGGTGCCCGCTAGACACAGAAGGCCCCCCTGAGGACGGTTACCAGCAGCATAAGAGGCAGAACTGGAGAAGAGCAGAAGCTGCTGAGGAGCTGTTAGGGAGCTGCTGGTTCTCTTGGAGGAGCTTGTCATGCTGGATTTCTCGATGAACTTGGCCGTTCTCATTGTCAGAGAAGCTCGGGACCTTATTGCCACTGAGAATGGCTTCGGTTCACTTCTGGGATCTCTGGTCTTTACTTTGAGCATCGCTTCCTGGCTCCAGAGGGGAAGATGGTGTATGGCCAGTCTCCCGAACAAGCTTGCTGCGTTGGCTTTCCTGATGGGAACTCAGCTGTCTTCACCGTTGGAGGAGCTCGGGACCTTGCTATTGCTGAGGAGGGCTGTGGTGCTTTTCGGCGGAGCTTTGGTCCTTACTCTGAGTGTCGCTTCCTGGCTCCGTGCAGATCCCTCAGCCTGCTGGCACAGCTCTTTCATCCCGCTGGCACAGACTTTCTAGCTTCCACCACTGACCTTTGGGCCTTCCCGGCTCAGGTCCATGAAACAGGCCTGCATGAGACACTGTCATGGGCTATAGGCCTCTAGTTGGACTCATGGGAGACACTGTTATGGGCTCTAGGTCTTCAGCTGGACTCATGCAGGATATTCCGTGAGATCCAGGCCCTCAGCTGGATTCTTCGGTCTTTAGTGTGTGGACAGATTTCCTGCACTCTCTTTGTATATGATTCTTTGGGTGACTATCAAAAAATAATCTTATAATTCAGTGTCCTGTATTAAATTGTTCCCCTTGCAAAATCCCTGACTATAACAGGGCCAAACTGTAGAGAACTGCCTGGTATAGAAAACACGTTTGGGGATTAAGGAAGAGAACCAGGGGCATGCAAATTTTCTTGCTGCCCCGTGAGAGAAAAGTGATTGTTCTTGCTATGAGGTAGAGGAGAGTCGTCTATTGATTCTGAGAGCAGAGGATGTTCACACTTATGCGCAAGAACTGAGACAATGGTGTCCTGGACAGCGATAGTCGCAGCCTTGCAAAACGTCCTGGTACCTCAAAGGTGATCCAGAAGTCAGCCTCAGGCCCTGAAGGGTAGAACCAACTTCTCATCAGTAGCAGCTCTGACCTCAAAACCACCTGCCCAGCAAACCCCAGGCAGTAGCAGCACACGGGAAGCCAGGACTCAAGCGTAGCCTAGGGTGACAAAGAAAGGTAATGACAGGCTGTGCTTTCACACCCGTGTCAGCGGGACAAGACCACAATGCTAAAAGGGTAGTTCTATTTTTTTTCTTACATATGATTACATTGTAATTTAGACAAATTTATTGCTATGAGGGGCAGGCCTAGATCTGAGTCTTCCGGGTATAATACATATTATGTCCACTTCCAGAAAAATTGTTTTACTCTTGTTAAACTGAGACCATAATGGACGGTTCAGACAATATTAAAAGCAAGGAAATATTCATGGAAATCACTGAAATTCCATCTGATTAACTGTCCTTCCAGATTTATCTCTATGCATTCATAATTCATGGATTATGGACATAGCTTTATGTAAGTAAGAGAGTCTTCTAAATATTCAGAAACCTGCTAAGCTTATTTCTTGTTTCAAAAAAGCCTAGAAAAATAAACATTTAGTTTACATTAGCTAATTAGGAAAATATTTTGGTAGAATATGAATTGCTACTCCATTTGAAAACAATGAATAGATATAATCAAAGAAGAAAATATATACAGACAGATAAAGTAGCAGATGTGCCATGCATGGTAAGTTGGGTAGATCACTCTTCTCAGAAGTACCTCTCATTCTTTTTCTTAAAAAACTACTTCTGGGGCTGGAGATTTAGCTCAGCAGCACAGTGCCTGCCTGGCAAGTGCAAGGTCATGAGTTCAATTCCCAGTACCAGAAAAAAACAAAAAAACAAAACAAAACAAAACAAAAACCACTACTTCTGCCTTAATACAGCATATATGGAAACAACCATAAGAACTGAGGACAGAAAGTTAGGTGACGCAGTATTCTGGTCTGCAAGCTTACATTTCATATAGAGATAGTCAGTTTACAAAGTTACAACACCAAGATAAACAAATCCCACTACGTCCCTGGAGGTTGAGGACACGACAGGAAACAGATAAACAGGGCTCATGTGTGTGGTAAGGATCAGCCAGTAATAACAGGTTCTGCCTTTTTCTTTTGTTCTCAGAGAAGAGATCTGCTTTTCTGCCTCGATACTACACAGGCTCTTAACTCCTTGCCACCTAGTTTCCATGGCTATAGCTCTGTTATTCTGCACAACCAGAAGCTCTGAATGACTCATATTGCCAACCTGTGGGTCTTTTCTCGGGTTTCAAATATACCGTAGACACTAGGAAGGAAGACAGAGGTAGAGACAGTGCAGGTCTAGGTGGTCCTTGGCTGAAGAGTATCAGAGTATCAAGGATTTGGGCAAGGAGGCTGAAAACCTCTCATGCCCTTCCTGACTGATCTCAGGGTCGTTGTCAGCTTTGCCCATGATCACTCATTACATGTTTCTAGGTAAAGCATCATTCTTCCTGGATAGAAATCTATTTGTCTATTCACACCGGAACACTGGACACCTAGTCAAAAATTTTTAGTAGAATCCTAAGGCAGATAAGCATGTGTTCACTTGCAAAGTGAGTAATGGCCTTTGGTACCGTCTTTGTCAGATGCATAGATTGACAGCAGATTCTCATCAAACAGTTCATATATGTTGGCATGACAATGAAACTGTATATAGTAATGTGGAAATGCTTAAGTCTATTAAAGCAGGAAACATGCATATACTTATAAAATATGTTATTTTAAAAATCACCAGAACTAAGCAAGGTATTCGTTTTCCTTTTTCCTTGGTATTCCTTTTTTTCCCTAGCCAGACAGAGTAGTATTTGTTATTCATAATTTGTGGTAAGTCACTGCCTTTTATAATGGAATGAGAAACATAGAATAAACTATATAGATTCTGTGATAAAGAGTGCGCACTTGAGACCCTGAAGGAAAGCAGAGCAGACCCCATCATCTCTCCCATTGCAAGCTCTAAATCTTATGATTTCCTGTAACAAACTCTGTTGCCTGGAATTGCAGGGTCACATTACCAAGGAAGCCTGGTTGCAATGTGATAATGTAAGGTGGAAATCTGTGATGTATAATTCCTCTAAGGGTTGGTGATGCCTGCAGTTTGTCTGGAGGTGTTTGATATTCCAAGAGTTTCCTAAGAGACCCACAATACCGCTACAGGCTCCTGTCTGCCACTTTGGTATTTTAGGATCATGTCTGGAGCATGCTAAAGAGTTTCACACAGCCAAAACAACAACTGTTTGGAAATATGCTTACGATCGCAGGAAACATACACTAAAAATTCAGGATAAATTTCAGTGAAATTGTAAAGCACTAGGCATTGGAATGTAGTTTTTTTAATTAACTTTTTGCAGTGATTTCACATTATAAAATCAGACTTCTTTTGGATAAAGAAAAGAATGATAAGACTTATTAATTATTAACAGAGAACATTTTTTTCATTTCAGTAATCTATTTTATCCTAACTTAGAAAGCCATATTTCTTGACCATATTTTTAAAAATAAGACTATATTATCCCAAGAGAGAAAAATAGAGTTATTCCTCCTACTTTAGGATTGAGTTAATATTAATACATTTAATTTGATTGAACACCATCTATTGTGCTGGGGCTCTAAAAATGATTCCCCGGACAATGGTGCTTTCACTTACTGAAATACAGGAGCCAACTCGAGGTCCCTCTGCCCTTCCTGATCTGCCTCTTGGTCTTTTTTCTCTGGAAAGGAATAGAGAAGGGATGTCTCCGCATTTGTCCTTCTCAGACTAAGGAAGCTCCTCTAGAAGGAACACAATTGCTTCCAATTTCCTCCCTGAAGGCTCACTCTAACCAGGGAAGATTAATTCTTAGGAAAGAAGATTGAAGTAACACCACACTCACAGGCCAGGCAAAGACTGTCCCAAGGCAGTTTCTGTTCTCTGAGTTTATTAATTGCTCCCCACCTGACCCCAGTTGTTCACTCTCCCTCTAAAAGTGCCTACAGTGCCTCCTCTGCTCTCCTTCCTGTGGAGAGTACTCAAGCCTGGAGTCCCACACTTTCATACAATAAACTTGTATATTTCCCTCCTGCTAAATTGTCAATTATCAATTATTTCAGCATAATCAATTATGGAATCTTCTAGAACTGAAAAAAATATTATCTTGTTCTTTTATATTTAGTTTACCACCCCAGTGGAAGAGACCTATAGAAAAGTAGAAAGGAACTGTGCTGTGTGGTTTAATTAATGCTGAGGTACAGGAGAACAGAAGGTCCATGGAACACAGAAGAGAAACATCTAAAGATTGCTGGGTAAGTGGCTCACTGAGCTTAGCGTCAAAAGACAGGAATGAGTTAATCCGGTGAGAAAATTAGCTTTTCAAACCAAAGGTGAACAAGTGCCAAGCCAGGAATTGCAGGTGACAGAGTGTGCCCTGGGAGGAGTAGGAGAGTGATCATGAGCTTTGCAGAGGGTTGTGTTTCAGACCAGAGCACTGCATCTTGAATTGCATGAGGAGTGTTTGGACTTGTTTTCCAATGCATACTCCATGGCTGCATAATGCTTCCTGAATCCAGTCTGTAGTGATTATGAGTCTTCCATGAATACTATTATCAGCAGAGCAACTTTCCAATAAATATCCTTCCCAAGCACCACCTTCAAAGATATTGACTCAACTGATCTGCGGTGGATCAGAGAAGGATAGCTTCTGCAGCTAGTTCAGACGTTCAACCACGATCAAGAATCAACAGTGAAGCAACTGCACTTTAGCAATATGCCCAGTGGGTCTGATGCCCATCACTGCTTTAGAACTGTGCTCTGAGGCTCAGGGCAATACAACTTAAGTAATGTTCACCAAAGCAGTTGACCTCAAAATGTGGTTCCCAAGCTAGGAGCATCAGCATGACCTGATGTCTTAGTCTGTTTGGATTGCCACCATACAAATACCATAAACTGGGTAGCCCATTAACAAAGTTTATTTCTTACAGTCGTAGAAGCTGGGAAGTCCAAGATCAATACACCAGCAGACTCAGTGTCTGGTGAGAATGTGTTTCTCGATGCAGACAGTACCATCTTGCTGTGTCCTCGTATGGTAGAAAGAACAAACAAGCTCCTTGAGGCCTCTTTTATAAGACATTAATCACATTCAGGAGGTTTCTCCCTGGTGACCTGATCACCTTCTAACAGGCCTTGTCTGTCAGTTTTACGGCATGGGGGGTTAGGGTTCATCATAGGGATTTTGAGGGGCAACAACATTCAAATAATAGCCCGTGGTCACTTGTGAAAAAGACCAATTCTTTTTTTTTTTTTAATTTTAAAGAGAATAAATATGATAAAAAAGCATTCAAAACAATATGGAATTTCAAAAAACAAGATGATATGAATTCAGCAATGGTTGTTATATTGCATGTTGTCTTCTTCAAAGGAGTCATTCAGATTACCAGATACAAGCATGCAAAACTGGTCAAAAATAAAATAAAATTAAAAACTAAGCATTAACTTTTCTTTCAATAAACCAATAGAAGCTAGTAGTACAATTATCTTAGCTATCTTGTATGTATACATATTTCTTTGTTTTTTCCTTTCCCTCATCCTATCACATCCATTGTCCTTTCCTTTTGAGCAGTTTCTTTTCCTTTCATAATATCTATTGTGCCTTTCAGATTTTATTTACTCTTTCAGGTTTTTACACTAGGAAGACAATATGATGTTTATACATGTGGGTCTGATTTTAAAAATACCAATTCTTAGACCTTTCCCCATACTTTCTGAATGCGGAACTTGGAGGCAGAGCAGGGGGCCGAGCAACCTGCACTATACCCCAAGTCTTCTGTAGTGGTTCTGAGCACTCACGCCTGAGCACTGTGTGCGAAAAGCTGCTGAGCTGCGTGCGTGCGTGCGTGCCTGCGTGCGCATGTGTGAAGTGGCAGGGTGGGGGAACCGGAAGGTGGTACATGGATGTATCTCCCTGAGATCCTAATTAAGTTGCGATATTTTTGTAATTTACTTTTCTTGGCATATGGCACACTTCTGTGTGACTTGCAAAGCATGAAAAACATTGTCCTTTTAATTTGCCTTTTTCTGTTTTTTCACCTTCTACTGACCATCTTGCCTTCATTTAGCAGCTGAAGCTTGATTACTATTTAACAGGTGTGAGAAAATAGAGACTAAAAGGTAAATTCTGGATGACATAAACTCTTAACAAAGTACTTTTCACTTTCCTATTGTTTCAAAATGCATAGAATTGGCACATCGCATTTTGTCTCCTCAAGTGTTTAATCCAATCTGCTTTACAAAGAGCCAGGGAGGAAGTGTCTGACTGGGTCACCCTGAGGCACGTATTTGCTTAATGTCTTAGACAACCTCAAAGGTCTTCATTGCTTCTTGTTTTCAAAAAATTCCACCCTTAGCAAAGGCTACAGATGTCTAATGAAGTGCCACTGCGAAGTACCTGCGAGGTTTGCCATTCTGTTATCTCTGGCTTTGGGTTTTCCTTCTTTGTAAGGAAGTGCTGCGTTAGCTTTGGGAAGAGCATGAGCTTTGCAGTTATGTAGACACAATCTCATGACCAAGCGAGTGTGGCCTGCGGCTCTGGGAACGCTGTCCAGTTATTTCATCTTTCTGAGCCTTCATTTCCTTCCAGGATAAACGAGGGATAAGTCCTTCCTTCACAGGGTGTTCTTAGCAAGTGTGTCACAGGGGAAAGGTTCAGTTACGTTATTCTCTTCGCCTTACCAGACAGCCTTCAACCGAGCTGCTGTCAGAATGGCTCTCTAGAGTGGTTCCGGAGTGTTCTGAATCCTGTTCTTCTCATGCCAGCAGGAAGCCCGGCATAAAGGAAGGCAGGTTATCTCCTGAGGATGTGGACAAACTCTATTTACAACAGCGGACAGTGTAAGCAAGGATATGGGGTCATGAAAGTTTGTTGCAAGCACTAATTTAGTTAATTAAGTCCAGGGGCCAGGGAATTTTGTTCATTTTTTTCCCCAGTACTGGGGATTGAACTGAGAATATTCACATTGAACTGCATCCTTTTTTATCTTTTACTTTGAGATGGGGTCTTGTAAGTTGCTAAGTAGCTCCAGGTAGCCCGATCTTGCGGTGCTCTTGCCTCAGGCTCCCTGAGCGCGGGGCTGCAGGTGTACACCCACACTAGCTTGACGGTTTCTTAGAACCCACCTTTTTTCTTGTTTGGCTGCATCAGAAACACTTACAGGATGGATTTCCAGATGTGGCACAGACAGACCATCCCCCCAGTGCAAAAGCTGCATGACGCTGCTCCTGAGTGGTACACCTGCGTCCGGCCTGTATCACACCGAGACCCAGCCAGTGTCACAGACACACACTTGTCAGCTGTTGCACATAATTCTCTCACTGGTCAGACTCCTCATAATAAACCTGATGCTGGTACTGCCCCAGCCTGACACCCACGGGGCAGATTATTTGAATGCAGATTTTTTTTTATAGAAATAGTGGTGCTCACCTAGGTCTGTGTAACACCCCATAGATCTGGGCAGCACTCAAAATCAAATGTACTGATACTTCTGAAACATGATATATACATATTTACTGCTACCGTATGGATCTAAATGTCCCCCGCAGGCCCGGATGTTGACAGCGTGGCCCCTAACCCGTGACACCACTGAGAAGCACTAGAGCTGTTAAGTGGGGGGAGGTTTTAGGTCACTCGAAGCCTCTGCCTCAAACATGGTTGAGGACCCCTGCTGTCTCTTGCTGACGCTCTTTTCACCTCCTGGTCACTGTGAGGTAAGCAGATTGTTCTCCTGCAAACTCCCCACTATTACGGAATGTGCTGCCCCTTGCCCCAGGCCCAAAAGCAATAGGAACAACTGCTCCTCCACTGAAACCTCCAAAGCTGTGAGCTACAGTAAACGTTTCCTCTTTTCAAGTTCCTACTCTGTTATTTTGTTTCAGTAACAGAAAGTTGACTGATGTTCACAGTAGAGGGATAAATGAACACCGAATGAAGCTCATCTCCAACTCATGTTTTGCCATAAAGTAAATACCGTTCCACAGCAAAATGAGAAGGGAAAAATACAGTTTTCAAATTTTGGACTTCACGAGTACAGATAAACTATTGAAGACCTGCGCTACATCTTCTCGCATGGCATTTTGAATTCTCATCTCATAGGCAAGCTCAATAAAAGCATTTAAGATCACTTGCTCAATTATGAAAGGGCATGAATTATTTACAATTACTTATTATACTTTGGACTTGGGAGGGTGACATACTTGTTCACAGTGACATACTTGTTCACTGTGAGGTATTACCCTATGGCTGAGAAAAATTGCCAAGTGAGAATAGAATTTATTTTGTCAACTTTCTTAGATGTTCTCAAAGTTTGATAGGATATTTGAGGGAAACTGTTTGCTGTTTATAAATTATAGAACACTAGACTTTTTAAAATAGTCAATGAACTTTTAGCTCCTAAAACACGTGATGAGTAATCATGGAGCTCAGCAGTGCTATTGCATTTCACCCTCTGTTTTGATGGTGTTAGAAGTGGTGACAGATCTTTAGAACCTACCAGAGTTCTGTGGTACCCACACCTTGCCAGGACAAGCAGCAGACAGATGGGGAGATGCAAAGCTTCCATGTGACTAAAACAAAAAGATTGTGCACATATTGTGCACTGGGTATTATTATGACAACACTTTTGGCTGATTATATTTTGGATTTTCCCAAATAGATCTATGCTTAGAATACCCTTGTGATATTATATAGAGATCTCATAGGCTTTTATTCACTCAATCAATTACTAGGTGCATATTGTGTGCTAGAAAGACTCCTACCTCCTTGAGGTACAGTGATAAATAGAAGCCTTTTTGTTCTGTTTAGAGTACAGTGGAGAGGCATAAACAATCTCTAAGGAAAAGAATTTATGGTAGATGAAAAAAATAGAGATATTTGATTCCATGATCATCACATTTTCTAAATATGCTTTGTATACTTTAAAATAATTTGGGATGTCTACCTTTGGGTAAAGTGAAAACAGAATGTAGCTCATAAAAACAACTACCATTTATTGAACAATTTGTATCAGACCTTTCTGTTAGCCCAGCTACATAATTATCTTATTTTAGCCTTACAACCACTCAACTAGGAAGTACAATTATTATTCTAATTTTATAAATAAGAAAACCTAATATTGGAGAAAACAAAGAGTCCTTTTAGGACCACACAATTAAGTACAGGTCCAACATCCCTCAATTATTTTTCCTAAATCCAAAATGTTTTGAAAACCAAACATTTTTCATAATCATTTAACATCAAATACTGCCCTGAACTATCATTTTTATAGTTTTCACTTTCCCTATGAGTACCAAGAGAAAGCTCCTATATTCACAAGGATATTAAGTAATAATAAGGTATTGTATTACCCTTTTCAAATAAGAGTAATTCTAATTTATGTTCAACTCTGGTTTATTTATCACCAGGTGATTCTCACCAGAGTATTCCTTACAAGACTTTTAACAAGTCCATGATACTTAAGTAGAGTGGTCATATAATTTATCATCTAAACATTTCAGAGGAAAAGAAAGCATTATAATTAATTACCCAGTGACACTGGGTGTACATTAGCCTTCCAGGCAAACAAGAATGTATAGCTGACCCCCACTGCAGTGGCCAAGTGGACAGAGGGACAATGGATGCCTAGTAATTGTGAAGTCATTATATCTCATCTGGACTGTATTTGCTGCCTCAAGGAATGTGAGCATGTCCATTTGGAAGTTTCAGAAAGACACTGAGTACTGGAATGGCTCTTGGTTTGGAACAAGCTCCTCTGGGTCAAAATGGATGAGCCATGGGGTATGAAATATGTACAGCTATGAGGAAAGAGGTTTTTATATTAGCAAAAACAATACTGTGGACAGAGGTCCACGCTAGACTCAAGGGAAGAAATGAAATTCTGATGATAACCACTTGGATATGGAGGATAAAGGAAAGGGCAGAATCTAGGACAACTGAGGCTGGGGATTTAGCTCAGCCTCACAGCACCTGCCTGGCAAGCACAAGGTCATGTGTTTGAGTCCCGGTACCTGAAGGAAAAAAAAAAGAAGAAGAATCTAGGACAACTGGGCCAGAGATATAGCTCAATGGCACAGCACCTGCCTACTAGGCACAAGGTCCTGAGTTCTATTCCTAGTACCAAAAAAAAAAAAAAAAAAAAAAAAAAAAAGTATCTAGGACAATTCCCAGTTTTGTAGCTCACTGAAATAATTGTTCTGTTAAGGAAAACCAGAAAGAGTAACTACTCTGGGGAGAATAGTCTGAGGAGTTTAATTTTGGGATGTCTTTGGGATACTTCAAACTTCCTGTCACAAAATATTTAGATGCAATTAGGTAATAAGCTTCTTAACAGAAAATTATTTCTTTCTACCACCCCATACCTTAACCCAAGTGGCCTAGAACAATGCTTTAAACATACTAGATGCTAGCTGGGCATAATGATGTACACCTTCATCCCAGCACTTGGGAGTCTGGGGCAGGAGGATCTCCACGAGTTTGAGGCCAGCCTGGGCTACATAGTGAGTTCAGGACCAGCCTGAACTATCTAGGGAGACCTTATCTCAAACAACAACAAAAAAAAACGGTAGATGCTAAATTGAGGTATTTTTCTGTTACCCAGAAGCATTCTTAATGTTTTGACCTCTGCTCTTCAGTATGGTAAGGTCAACTCCAAGATTACTTACTTGTTAACATGTGAATGACATTTGCACCCACAGTAATCTTTCCTTTCAAAAATGCCACAGACTCATGGAAGTAAGGGAAAAGCGATTTTGAGGATGTTGTTCTAAGTTCCGGCTCTTTCAAATTATTAATATATGTGTACATTTTAACATCTTTCCTATAAACACATCTTGGTTCCAACTGTTGCAATTTCCACAAGAACATGTCGACTCTGGGATACACAGGTTCTCAAGTATTATTGTACTGTAGAATTTGGCACTGTCCCAACAAAGCACTATAGTTCCTGCAGAATCTGTATTTATAAAAACTTTATGAGGTGGAGGAGGAGGGCCAATTCTTTGATGGACTCTATTCTTTCAAACGAGCTCAGGCTGCATGGTTATATGGAGAACATGGTGATGCTCTACCAGCACCAAAAGCAAAACTCCCAGCTCTTAAACGCTCATCTCTGAACAATATCAAAACAAATCTAATAGGTGAAAACACTAGGTTGACCATAACCCAGTAGGCAAATACTGTGCAAAGGAATGATTGCAGTTGGCCAATCAAACACACATGACATGATAACTTAAGCTACATTCACAGAGCACAGCCATCACTGTTCACATTTAGTTTTTAAAAGCTGCAGGCCAGAGACTTCAAGGTCCTTGAGATACACTGGTACCTTGGTTCATCAATTTAATTTGGTCTATGATTTTGGAAATGACGGGCATGTTTGCATTTGTGTGGGAAAGATGGCAATGGTCATGTCTGTCATCCAACGCAATGTTCAAACAAAAACCAAATTTTGTCAAATGCTTCTGTTTGTGAACCAAATTGTTTGTAAACAAAAGCATCCATGAATTGAGGTATTGGTGTAAATGTCTTTTTTGAACTTATAATGTTAACTTTAGACATATAAACAGGAAAATTTTCATTGAGTTTCTTTGCTGAAGGGGCTTTAAGAAGCCCACTAACAGGGCCAGGGATATAGCCCAGTGACACAATGCCTGCCTGGCAAGCACAAGGTCCTGAGTTCAATTCTTGGTATTAGGAAGCCTATTCAACTTTTAGCAAATCAAAAAACTTTTAAAAGCCTTGGTTTCTTTCACCTGTAGACTGAGGTGAGTACTCCTATACAAGGCAAAAGTCAGTCTATATACATGATTCGGCTACCGTGCCAGGCAGAATACTCAAAACAAAGTACATGCAACCAAAAAAAGCAATGGAGATCCAGGGGTGGTGGTGCAACATGTAATCCAGCACTCAGGAGGCTGAAGCAGGAGGATCACCATGAGTACAAGGCCAGCCTGGGCTACACAGTAAATTCAAGAGTGAGACCCTCTCTCTCAAAAAAAAAAAAAAAAAAGCAATGGAGTAGGCATCAATCTTGTCCTTGTGCAGTAGCAATATGGTAATTGGCCAGATGGAGATATTGAAGCCTGGACTGAAATAAACTTTGAAGAACTTAGATTTAGGAACCACATTAAGGAACTGACAGCTCAGGTCCACTAGGAAGAAAGTTGCGATGTACAGGACAAGTGTGACCGGGTTTTAGTGCTAAGCTTTTACTTTCCAGACAGACAAATTGGGAGATGATGCTGGACAGTAAACACACCCGAATCACCTTGAGCCAGTCACTCTCAGTGGTACTGCACCTTCCATGAAGTGGAGTCCTCAGTGACACAATCTCAAACTGACACTGGAGAGGAACACTATTATCTAGTTTGTTGTTCAGAAGTCTTACTGTAAGAATATCCTCCAATCAAGTATCTAGCATTTGATTCTTTAACATTATTCTTTTAGTTTAAGGCATTGCTCCCTTAGAAAAACAATATAGATATGGAACTTTGAAGAAGAAAGTTATTTCAGCTACCAATAGCTATCTTTAGGTTGAGAGAGTCTCAGCTCTGATAAAACAAAGGCTAAATAATTAAAATATAATTGAGCGGAGAGAGATCAGAAATTTAGACTAAGGTGGCCTAAAGGAAAGCTAGCTGATGAGCAAACTCTTCTGAAATCTTGGAAAGAGCAGAAAAGCTCTCACAGGAGAGCAGAGCACCCATCTGGAGAGGGAAGACATGTCACACCAGCCTCACCCAAAGTCCAAGCTTGCGCAGCACTGGCCTTGAGCCCTGAATCTAGGACAAATGCAGATGGACTTGAGGAAAACATTTCAATGGGTCGAAATACAAACATATGTCATCTCTTCCCTCGTTCAATTTCTTCCTCCCTATTGCTTCTTCTCCTCCTTCTTCCCTTCCTTTTTTCAAGGCTTTTGACATGGTTCAAGATATCCCACCCCAAAATGTGAGACCAGATTGTGCTATCCCAAATATACCTGTTCAGTACAATGATTACTTTGAGTTTTTTAAAAATTATTATTTTATTTCCACAAATTTATGGACTGTAAAGTGATAATTCAATATATGTTTATGGTATAGAATGATGAAATCAGGATAGTTAACATTTCCTTCTTGTCTTTAAACTTTTGAAATTAACTGTACATATTTATAGTACAAACTGACATTTCAATACATGGATGCAATATCAACTGATTAATCTGGAGATGTTATGTTAATTGGTTATTTAAAAAATTATAGATACGGAAGTTCCAAAAAGTTACTCCTTCGTGAAAAGTTTGCAGAAGTCATTTCCCATCACTGTAAAAAAATCACTAAAATAAACAAGTTAAAAGAGGAAATGTTTATTCTGCCTGGTGATTTGGGAAGTTCCAGTCCACGGCGGCCTGGCCACACTGCTTGGGAGCCTGTATACCATGGTGGAAGCATGTGGCAGAGGCGGCTGCTCACCTCACAGAGGTCAGGAAGGAAAGAGAGCAGAGAGAAAGGACCAGCGTCCCAGCCACCTGACTTTCTTCCACTAGGCTGCATGATCTTAAAGTTCCACCATCTCCCCATAGTGCCAGTGGCTGGCAACCAACCCTTCCCCTGGTGGCATCTGGGGGACCTTTAAGATCCAAACCATAACATCTACAGAGGAAATCTGCCTTTGTCAGGACTAAACCATTGGAGCTTCAATCAAGAGAAAAGCCAGCCCCTGAAATCTGCAGAACAGACCTGTTCTTTATTTTGTGTGTGATTCCTGGCTATGCCACCTTGTTCAGACTTTTCCTCCAGCTCTCTTTTGTTGGTTCAGTAAATGTCAGTACTTAAGTCTAAACTTTCAAGCAACTCTTTCAGATTCACTCTAGAAATGTACTCCTCTGAGTTATCACCCATGTGTACAGAAAGTATATTTGTTAATACACTTCCGTTTATTTTCCTCTTGCTAATCTGTCTTTAGTTACAGGGAGTCCCAGCTAAGAACTCATGATGGGTTAAGGAGAAAATTATTTTTCCTTTCCTCCACCTTTTCTCCTTCCTTTTTTCCTATCATTTCTTCCCTGTATATTCACTGGCGTTCAAAAGAATCACATAGCTTCTTCAGATAACTGACTGAATCATAACCATTTATCAAAAGGAAATGTTTTGCAGGCTGGTTTAGAACTGTGTCCGCGGCACATGGATGAATAGCTAAGATTTTATAAGCCAAAGTAAAATGAAAGGCTCTCTGAAGCCTAAATACTAAACATGAGCATTAAAGTATCCCCATGTAGATAAAGAGAATGTACATGTATTTACACAGTAGCAGTTGAGTTGATCTCATGAGCAGAAACAGAGCGCGTGAGCTTCGCTCTCACTTCAGACACTGCGCTTCACGACATCAGTGCTTACGGTGGGCTGTCTCACTTCAGACACTGCGCTTCACGACATCAGTGCTTACGGTGGGCTGTCTCACTTCAGACACTGTGCTTCACGACATCAGTGCTTACAGTGGGCTGATTTCCTCTGCACAGATGTGGAACCTAAGGGAAATTGAAAAACTTCCTTTCTAGGTTTTGTATAAAAAAGGGATATTTCTTTTACTCTGGGCAAAACAGGAAAAGGAGTATTTAAATGTTCTACACGTGTACGCATACGTGTGCGCGTGTGTTCTGAATGTAGCCCCGTTCTTACTAGGAGTTTGTCTTAAGAAAGAGCAAGCGGCACCACAGGCTTGGTCACCCCCCCCCCAACTTGGCTGTGTTGCCATTTTCTTAATGAACGTCTGTTCCTTTACGTGGAAGGTGAGCTGCATGTACTGCCGACAAGAGGGAGCCAGCTGGTGAGTGATCCAGACCGGAGAAACAAATGCGTCGCACTAGCAGCTTGTGGAGGATTTTTCAGCGCAGGATTGTAACTACCTTTCTGGCAACTGAACTGAAGGTGAGTTTTCACCTACTTGTTAACTTAACCCAGGAGCTTACGAAGTGAATCCTTGAGCATGCAGCACAGTCAGATGGGACCAGGACCGTGTTAACTGCTGACGTGTCTGAAGTACCTCCATATTACTAAGGTTTCAGAGTTATCGCCATAGTTTCCAGTCTAGGATGTTCTCAGAGGGTAAGAGAGTCAGCAGGAATAGGAGCAAAGTGCACGCCGCTGGGTCCTGGCCCCCTTGTCTATCAGATCTTGGTAGGACACAGGTGATGGACACTAGAGCTCTTCTTGGTAAGAAACGGTGAAGGTCACAGGCAAGAGAAAGATCAAGAATTTCAGTTCCCCTGAAATGTTCATACTAAGCCTTGCTACATGTTTGATTTCATCCAGAGCATAACTAATCTCTCCAGTAGCCAAAAGCAATTCCCCGCGCGCCCTTCCACACACACATATATCATCTACACACACACACACACACACACACACACACACACACTCCTCCAGACAGTGGATGCTTACTTCAGGAGATGATAATAACAGTGGCCCTTACTCACCTCAAAAGTATCCAGATCTTGGCATAATTACCTCTTATGCCCTCATGACAGCAATATAAAACAGTATTATACCCCCACTTTACAGATAGAGAACCTGAAGCCTAAGGCCAGAACTACATCTAGAAGGCAGTGGAGCCCGTAATTAAACCCGCTCTGCATGACCCCCGACCACTACTCTGTCCACCTCGTCTGCCATGCGTGCACAACAAGGACGCCATTCATTTTGCCAAAGAAGAGGTGAACATAGGTATGAATCAATGTCACTGTCACCTGCCTACATCCTGTCCAACAGATTATCAGACTGGAGGAAAAGGATCATTAAGAAAGAATTTTACAGAAACTGTAAGAATTGAGATTCTATTGAAACACGTCATAACAATGATTCAACCCACACTATTCCTCAAATGCCTTCTCTGGCTCTTTATTGAATCTAGTTTCTGTTTGCTCAGGTTACACTTCATTATGTAGAATTCCTTGAAAATAAAAACATCAACCATCAAAGCTGAACTTGTTTTCTGACCTATTTTTGATACTCATTGGAAACAATGAGGTCTCTGCACATCTGTTCCTTTATGCTCTTCTGCTGCCATTGCCCCCTCTTCTGTAATTCATGACACCCCAAGCCAATTACTACATCTTGTGAAATGCACAACTTTAAAGGGAATTTCCATGCAGTTACAGAAACTGAATGCTGTGTTTCTGAGCAAGTGCCCTGCCTTTGGGCATTGTGGATTTGTCCTTCCATGCTAACGGTTATGGATGGAGACAAACTCTTTATCAGTCTCACAGTGTATTGAAAGCTCTCTAACTATAACTGTGCTTTTAAAAGCAGGCCCTGGGTGCCCGCCTTAAGCAAGTTATCTCTACGTATCTTGCCTCCGAAACACAGTTGCTGCTCATTTAACCACTTGGCTAAGGATGCCTGCCTCTTTGTGAAGACAGAAATTCCACAAGGACCCATCTCAACTCTTTTGATGAGTGGGAGGTGTTATTCCAGCTCCGGCCAAGGCATATCCATGCCCCAGTTTAAAGCTGTCATCTTTCCAGCTATTGGGCCAGCTGCCCCTTGCCTAGAGCCTATGCCAAGCATGAGCAAGGCAGCCTAGACTCCTCCCAGGCAGCATCACGCATAGCCCAAACTTGAGGAGTTTGTTGGACTGGTGAAAATTGAGGGCTTTTGTTCTGTTTTACTTAACAGAATTGGTATTTCCCAAGAATTATATCAAAATGAAATTTCTACGACTTTCCTTTTTCAGAATTCTTGATGAGACATTGTTAGAGCAGTAATAAATCCTTTAAGTGAAGATAAAAAATATTTTTGCTCCATATCCATATCTTTTTCAAGAGGAATGATGAAGAAAGAGAGAAGTACTGGGCAATAATCCCTCCAGAGGAGGTGACATTCAGATAACTTAGGTACAGATATACTGGGGTCATATGTAAGTACTCATTAAAGGAGAAACCTAAATATCTCCCACTGACTGACAAAAAACTAGTCACGGAAGCTTCCAGAACCTAAACTCTCATTTGTTAACTAAGGCTTACAATGTCCTTTTCAAAGAGCTGTGGAGAAAGCTATTCAAAGTCGCGCCTATGAAAATGCCCTGTAATGCACAGGATCTCTGCAGCAGGAACGCCGCACTGCGGGGAACAGAACCCAGGGAGCTCGGTACTTGTCCCACGTGGGGACCAGACTGGGGGAAACGGCGCCTTTCTGCCCTCTCCCCTCTGCCCCTTGTCTTCGCTAAGCCCATCCCACTTCTTGTGCGTACCTGCCCACCTCTGTGACTGCAGCCAAGTACTAACTAATAATAATAAGAAGAAGAATATTAAAAATAGCAACCAACATTGAAAGCACATTATGTTCATGGATTAACTGCATCAGTAGAGTTGCTTTCTTCACTGTCTCCACGTCTTCCCTCCTGTCCTGGAACACCACTATTTGCTTATGCCCATCATGCATCGAAATCGCTGTGGCAAGGCCACTGTCGAGCTCCAAGCTGCCGGATCTAGCTAAGCCTTTCTTTGTCCTGTCTTGCTCACCTCACGCGTGGGTTTGCCAAGCCCATCCCTCCCTTTTCTGTGGAATAGTTCCTTCGCTTCTCCTCCTGGGTGTCGCTGTCCTTCCCTCTCTGTCACAGGCTGCTCCTCTTCCACTGCCTTTGCTGGCTCTGCTGAAGGGCCCGGAGCTGTCTGGATCAGGGCATTCTGTTTCAGGCTATCAGGTTTCTCCCCTCCTCTCGGCTCTCATCTTTATAGGCCATCTCCTCATCTGCTTTGGTCAGAAAGTTTGTTACAGCAATAGAAAATGGACTAATGCAACCACTTACTCAGTTATCCAAGTCAGGTTAATTGGCTGGAATTGTCCCAGGGATGGTCAATCGACGGAAATGTGTCCCCTCACCACTCTGCAGGCAAGTCTGCCATCAGCAAGTCTGCTGTCAATACAGGTTGGTTTCTTCTGCGGCCTCCGTTCTTGGCTTGTAGAGAGCTGTCTTCACCCCGCATATCCTCTTGGTCTTCTACTCACATGGTTCTGAGTCCTAATATCCATTTCTCACAAGAACACCAATCATACTGGATTAGGACTCAGCCACATGACTTCATTTTACCTTAATTTTCTTTGTAAATGACCTATCTTAATATATAGCCACAATGTGAAGACTTACATAGACGTATATAGGTATGACGGCGCACACCTATAATCCCAGCACTTGGGAGGCTGAGGCAGGAGGATCGCTGTGAGTTTGAGCCACGTGGGCTACTTAGTGAGGCCAAAGCCAGACTGAACTATATAGCAAGACCCTGCCTCAAAAGAACCACCCAAAAATATGCATTTTAGGGAGTATATAGTTCAGTCCACAATACACATAAATACCATTTCTTCACTTAAATGAATAATGGTGATCTCAAAACTAACATGACCAAAACCAATCTTTACATACTGTTCCACTCACATGTCCCTTAAAGCATCATTTGTTCTCAGCATTATTATCTATACTCAGTATGTATTCAGCCTCTCCTTCAAGCCACATACCATGATATACACCGTATATCCATGTTTATTATCTAACTCCCACCAGCCAGGTAGGAATTTCACCCTGCCTGTTGCCTTACCTCCAGCACTTGGAACAGCTGACAAATGAAAATGGCCACTCAGTAACTAGCTGCTGAATATATAAGTAAAATGCTCACGACAGCTACGTTAGGCAGCTCTCTTATTCTCTCCCCTTCACAGGTGAGGGAATTGAACCCAGGGGAAACAAGTGAACTGCTTAGTCGTGCAGCAAGTGGGGAATGGAACTGTGATTGGACGGGTGATATGGGTCCAGGCTGATGAGCAACCGCATTCTGTGGTGGAAAGTGCTCCTTCTCAGGAGGTAAAGGTACACTGGAGTCTATGGGAGCGACCTAGGAGTTATAGGCCTGTACCAAAGCTGTCAGAGGTGACCATTGCAGGCTGAATGTATTACGGCGCTGGTGTCAGTCAACAAGGTCACAACATAATTAAGATCTACTTCCAACTTCATTAGTGCCTTAGGAAGAAGTAAACTTAGCAGGAGCTTATAGACCGCTGAGAATCCGTGAGGAGGTTTATAACTCCCTAGTGGAGGCAATCAAAACCCAGGTCCTTTACAATTCACAACAGAAAAGCAACAGAAATAATTAAACCGCTTACATAAAGAAAGAACTATTGTTTTAAAACCAGAATAAAACCTGAGTTGTCTTTACTTGAATATTTGATTTTGCCAAAGAGAGCCCATCATAGTATCCATCATGTAAATGTGGCAATAAAATTCATTCCTGACATCACGTGAAGTAATTGGTAAAATTTTGAAACTTAGCTAATATGCATAACTGGAAAGAAATGAGAAAACAACTTCTAAAGTATGCCTCTGTCTGAAAGAATGCTGCTCAGAGCTTAGGCTTCCATTTAAGGCCATTGATTGTCCTTAGTATTGAAGTCATCTAGCATATGCATTCCACTGCCACTCCATATGGAAATGGTATAAAGTTGATTTTAAGTCTTGTGGCTGGACAGGCCCTAAGAGCTATGTCCAAGTCCAGATACGTACTGTATCAAAAGAAAGCATGCCCCCACCTAGACCACATGACGCCCCCATGGTGAGGCTGGGAAAAACTACATGGAAAGACATCCTGTTGGAGGATGATCACTGGACTACACTGACATAATCTGTATTTATCAATCTGATTCATCAGCTGTGTGCTTTATCCATTCAGAGGATAGGCTTCAAAATAGAGAAACAGTAAATGTTTATCAAATTTCATGTAAAACCCTATGATGGTATTGACAAACCAGACTGAACCTATTCTTATAGGTTAATTTGTGAAGAATTGTCAGTTTTAGACTATGAAATCCAACACGCATTATCGTGGTATGACTCTTTAGTTCTTCTACTTACACATCTTAGAGCAGATTTTCTCACCCTAGGTGCTATGTATATTTGGTGCCAAATAATTCTCTATCACCCTGTACACTGTAGAATTTTTAGCAGTGTCCCTGGTCTCCATCTACCAGATACAGTACCAGTAGCTTATTCTACCCAGATATGACTAGCAAAAATATCCCCACACACTGGCAAATGTCCCTGCCTTCTATTTAGAACTACTTTTCTAAAGAAATTCTTGCACACAGTACCATTATGTCCAAATTTATTTGTTACAATATTGTTTACAATGCAAAATATTAGAAAATACTTGATCATTTATTAGTAAGAGTATGTATGCATAAAACTTGATTTATTGCTATAACAAAATTTTATTCAACAGTGGAAATTAAATAATGTAGTTCTATCATATTCTATAAATGTGAATAAGTATTGAAAAACATAATGCCAAATTGCAAAAGAAACTTTTGCATAAGACTAGTATCATGTAGTACCAGTAATATACATACCTAGTACTGAAAACAATATTCTGAACACCGTCTTAGTCCAACTGTGTTGTTAAGATACAATACTGGTTATGGGTGATTTATAAAAAGAAATTTATGTCTCATGATTCTAAAGACTGGAAAGTCCAACATCAAGGTGCTGGCCTCCAGCCAGGGCTTCCACAGACATCACCCCAGCACAGAAGGTAGCACAAGAGAGTAGGAGGAAGAGCAGGACGGGCAGACTTGGCTCTCCGAGCAAACGCAGCCTCGTAGCAATGACAGCGGTACAATCACTTCTTGAAAGTCCAGGTCTCAACACTATCACACAAGGTTTAATTCCCAGCCAGTGTTCTCTAGGGGGCACATTCTAACTTTAGCTCTCAAACAGTACTTTTAAAGGTAAAGTTTTAACTGTATGGGAATAATTCCTAAAAATCCCAGGGTGATGGAAGGGTCTGAGGATGGTGGCAGTGTGGTAGGGCTTTATCTTTAGTTTTGTTAATTTTGTCCCTTCGCAAACAAGCAATCTGAAAAAGTTGTGACAGAATATATTTTAAGTCTAGGTAGTTGATTATGGGTATCTGTAATGTCATTATGGCTGTTACACGATTATTACTTCATATGAAAATACAAATTACAATTATACTTTGTAATAACCCTATGAACTGCCTTTTGAAAGTCTGAAATTGGAAACTGTGGGCAATTTTAGACGTCAGCTCAGATGCATCAGGGGCGTCTAGATGCCTGATCAAGTGTTACTTCCGGTTGTGTCGGTGAACATGTTTCCAGAGAAGACGGGTGCGTGTCCGTGAGCTGACTGGGGAGGGCCTACCCTCAGCGTGGCTGGGCACTGTCCAGCTGGCTTTGGACCCGGGTAGAACAAACAGGCAGAGGAAAGAGAAGTTCTCTCTCTTTGCTGGAGCTTGGATATCCTTTTTTTTCCTCCCTCAGGTTCTCAAGCCTGCAGTCTGGGCTGAGAGTCACAGCATCAGCTTCTGGGACTGAGCCATGCTACCCAATCCTCTCCTTCTCTCCGGTCTCCAGGCGGCGCTTCGTCGGACTTCTCACCTCCATTGGCTCAGGAGCCAGCCCCTCAGTGAATCTCCAGTCACGTACATACCACGTGTTCTAGAGAACTCCGATGAGTACAGAAACTTGCACATTTACAAGAGTGAGTTGTTTTCAAATATTTCGGTAGATTTTTTAAACTACTTCTGGATTCCCCTCAACACTCATTTGTAAAAGATAGTTAACCATTTGTTTCACAACACTATTCCTCAGTCAGTAATACAAATACCGCAGCATTCACTCCGAGTAAATGCTAGGATCTATCAGAGGAGCACCTAAGTTATCCACGTACAAATCACGCTTTGTTGACTTTCATGACGCTTGAACATTCAAGCCTTAATAGCACACTTAGTATTTAAGTTATAACAAGTTGAGGGCTGTTTCCTTATACTGGTGGTGAAGACCATCATTACTCCTGAGATTAAGAGACCATACATATTAGTTGATTTATTGACAGCTCTGCAGTGACTACTTACAAGTGCTATAATTTTACAAATGCCATATCTCAACTTTGACAAATACAATGAACTCATGGGCGTGATTAAAACTTGTCCCTTGCCGTGACTACTGATAACTTTATGGCCCTTCAGCATCCATTTTGAGAGTGGGGTTGACTATCTCACGCTGGATTGATGCAGATTATCTGCCCTATTCCTAAACCTTCCTACAGGACATAAGTACACACTGCCAGACTCACCCCACTGACCCCACAGTCCAGGGGAAGTGTGCAGTTGTATCACAGTGGCCACTCCTCAGCTATAGCATCCATCCATCAGACCCATATCTGTTTAATCAGAGCTCCCTGGGGGAAACCTGCCTGAGTAACATCACCGACTCCGGGAGAGGCCACACTCTCAGGCCACCTTTCTCTGCCTCCCCACCTGCTGCTGAGTAAGGTGCCCTTGAAATCTTCCCATTATTCCATGTTGGAACCCACTCCCTCCATGGAAATGAGAACGATGCAATGCTTCTTCTGCCGTGTATATTCTGCTTTGCAGCCTCCTCTGTCTCATCTGACCAACATGCCCAGATCTAACTTCTTTTCTGGTCAGGGCTCTTCTAGAAAGAGGTTGTTTTAGCAAGAAAAAACTAGGCACAGTTCATACAAGAGCCATAGGGTGTGTGTGTGTCTGTCTGTCCGTCTGTCTGCCCATGCGAGTAGTTTCCTGTGAGAATACCCAGTCATGGGTGCAAAAGGTAGGCCTTAGGCCCTGCACCGGAGCAAAGAAGTACCCTGTAACAGGCAGGTTGCAGACGGCCATGGCCAAACCCCTTACAGGCTCCCCGGGGCGGTGCTAGTGTTCGAAGATAAGCCTCAGAAAGATAAACCTGAAGACCGAATGAGAAAGAAAAAGAGAAAATGATCCTTCACCTTTTCTAATCACCATTTTTCATCTTTTATCAAATGGTTTTCTGAGGAAGAAGTTGTACAAGGGTGGAATATATTGTATCTCTGAGACTGGCAACCCCGAGGGGCCTCCAGCTGTGTCTACTCGAAGGTCAGTTCGATGGACGTTCCAACTTCCTTTTCAATTTCTATTCTTTTAAAAGGCCACGTGACTTAAAGTGATTCCTCTTATACAGCAAGAAAATGGAAGGTCCGAAATGCGGGGAGTAGACGATAATAATCATAATTATGATAAAAGTGCCATCAGTGTACTCCCAGATGACATTTTATATAGCATTAAGAGCTTGGTACAAAAAAAATGGGAAAAAATGTTCTTATAGTGCTGGTGTTCGGGCATTTGAAAGCAATCATTCTTCACTGACACAAAATAGTGTGCTAGCAGGTGTACAATTCAGAAGTAGACAATAATTTCCCCTTTATCTAAAAACAAAAATTGAATGCATGTATCCAGTTCCATCTACGAGAGATAAGTTAGCTGCTCAGCAATTATGACTTGGTTGGTAACCCTATGACTTCCAGACATGTAAACTGTTTGCAATTTAAACGGCTTTGAATTAAATTTCAAAAGTTAACACCTACAAAACAAGGGAGACTTTTTCAACTCATAACTTATATACAAAAGAGTCATTTTCACCACTTGTATTTAAGTAATTATGATAAAATCACGGCAGCAAGTAATTCCTCCCAGGCCAAAGGAATTGGAATAGAAAGAGCCTGTTAAACGGCTACCAGCAAGTAGAGGTCATTTGAGACACTTGAAAACCTTAGACTTGGCCTCAAAGCACAAGCTGCAGGGGGTCAAACAGCACCACTCACCAAACAGACTCCACACACATTGTACTTTACTGCAAACAAGGAATGAAACAGGTTCAGCCGCTGTGCACCCCAACTGCGGCCATTACCCCAGCGTTAGTTCCAGAGCTGCTGGAGCACAAGCTACTGCTCTTCTGGCAACAGATGAGCATTTCATTTTCCAAGGATTCTAAACTGCCCAAGGGAAGAGACCTAAAGGTAATAACATTGGAGTTCTGATTGGGAAAAAAATTTTTAAAAAACAAAAAGCAGGCAGATCACTCTCAGGAGGGCCCATTGCTGATTAACCTCAGTCTCGCCAGAGTTTCTAGTTAGTTTTGGATACTGAGTCCTTCAACATGAAGCAACCAATAGAACTCATCAGACAAATAGGAAATGTCCCAAATAATAAAAATTGGAGAGCAGATAAGCAAATTAATAGGCAGGAAATAAAAAATTGTGCAGGGACTGTCTAAGAATGTGTGTGTTAGATGCAACATGGTCACCTGCATGTGGCCACAGGGGGCCGGGCAGCAGCCCGGGAGGAAGTTTCTCATCACTGCTGGGTCCAGGGCGGGGACCTGAGAGCTGCACACCACAGAAGAGAAGGGTTTCTGCTGCGCAGATCTGTAGCTGCCCACCATTCTCCAGGAAACACGGGAAGTGATGTCAGTTGAAAGAAGAAAAGGTTTACTCGAAGCTAACTCCAAAGAGACAGGAAAACCTCTGCTCAAATCTCTGTCTCACCCTTGTTCAGGTGTGCAAGCTCTTTTAGGAAGACCGGGTGGAATACAGTGACACAATGGACCAGACCTCTGCCAGATACACTACTTCACCAACGGTCAGTTCTGCCTCTCATAGAGTCCCAGTGCATGAGTCTGATGTCCTTCAGCCAAGGTCCTTGTCATTTCATAGTGAGGCCAGCCTTTTCCCCCCGTTTGCAATATTATGTTCCTCATCTCCATCGAATACGTCATCCGAATAGTCTTTGCAATCCATGTTACCGCCAACATTCTGATCTGGGCGCTTGAGTAATCTCTAAGAAAAACAAGCCTTTCCCTACACTCCCTTCTTCTGAGGTCTCATGAGAAGTGCTTTCTCTGTTCCATTCACGACTGTAAAGGTTTTCCCACCATCCGCTCCAAAGCTATTCCTGCCCCTACCCATTACCCAGTCCCCAAACCATCCCGCATTTGTAGATACTTACTATGATTACATCACACTCTCCTGGTGCCAATTTCTGTCTTGGTACATTTGTGCTCCTTTAACAGAAAACCATAGATTGGGGCGTTTATATTTTAGAAAATCATTTTTGACAGTTCTAGCAGCTGAAATTAACAGCATCTGGTGAGAGCTTTGGTGCATGACCACACAGAAGGGCACCAATGACAAATGCTTTGTCCTCACATAGTAGACGAGTAGGAGTTCGAAACAAGAGTCAGACTTGCCCAGTAAAACCCCTCAGTGTCATGAACAGGACACCTGCTCCTACGCATGAGGGAGGAGTCTGCAAGGTTTAATCATCTTTTAAAGACCCCACATCTCCTAATACTTTCACGACAGCAACATCTGAATTTTGAAAAGTTTATGTGTGAGAAGTATGCTCCCAACTGAGCCCTTTGCTATCTCTAGTAACTGGCTTTTCCTAGGAGGAGCAGGATCTCCACAAGTGTTCAAACTTTCCAAAGCCAGAGCAGCAAGAACACAGAAAATAAGAAAATACAGTCAATGTCATTGGTCCTGCCAGGCACACATACCACACAGATAAATATAGAATCTAAACAGAACACAGCTAGAGTGAGTTATAATAACACCCCTGGGGGGGAAAAAATCTAATAATACTGTCAAAAGGTAAGTAAAAAGGTTCTGCATACATGAAATTCATACTTAGGGCAATTAAAAAGAGATCACGCTTGTTGGTATGTTCTGATGTCTCAAGAGAAGTTATTGCATATAGAAAAGATAAGGCAAAATTTTACTTGGATTTAAATGCTTAGTTTAAATTTATTACATTTTCAAAACATTTTTCTTAAGCTTTTAGAGTCAATTTACTGATTTTCATATTAAAGTTTTATATCAGCAAATTACAACATTCAGTTTTTGGATGTTTTAAGTAATGTTTGTTCTTATTTGCAAACTCAGTAATTAAAACACCCTGAATTTTTAAACTATATTGAGCTACCTCTTAGTGTTTTTTTCAGTTATCTACTCAACAAGCAAAACATTTCCATAAATGTAAATAATTTTGATAAGTTTTCTGTTCTGTCATCTCTTGCTATATAGCAAGTGATTCCAAAGCTTATTAAAATTGGGAGTGGTAGAGTTGAGATTACTCAACAATGTCTAGAGTTCTCAGCAGGAAAGAACTGAAGGCTGGGGGCAACTCAACCCCCAGGAGGAGAAGAAATAATTGGAGGTCTTACCATCATATCTGGCTGTTGTGACCAGCTGTGCTCTATAGCTTCAGCTGGAGCTGTAAACCCTATAAGCCCAAACACCTAAACAAGGGCATTCTACAGTGGCTTGTGCTTCCTCACAGCATGGCAGCCTATGACTTCTCCTATGATACTTTACAGGTCCAAAGACAAATGTCCCGAGAGGGGAAAAGAAGCTTCAGGGCTCTTTTTAAAACCCAGCCTTACAAGTCACTTAGCATTCACATTGCTCTTTTACATCTGTTGATCAAACATATTTTAAAACTGCCGTAGTATTATACGTATAAAGTAATTGCAGCTAAATTTGCTCAAATGTACTAATACTGTTCATAAATTTAGTAATATTTTTTCTTCAAACCCTTTCTGAATTAACAATTCATGCATTTTATGGGAAATACAAGACTGCTCCTGGATGGCGATATGGTTTGGCTGTGGTTTGGCTTTTGTCCTCCACAGGCTCATGTGTCAGGAGCTTGGTCCTCAGGATGGCAGTGTTGGGAGGTGCAAGGACTTCAGGAACTGGGCCCTGGGGGCAGGGTTAGGTCACTGAGGGCACTGCCTTCAGAAGTGATTATTGTGGGGCTCATGGGCCCCTGAGTCAATTCTTCTGAGAAGATTGTTACAAAAGAGCAAGACTGGCTTCTCCTCTCAGTCTGGCTTCCCTTCTTGCTGCGTGCTCTCCCACACGTGCACACACACATGCACATGCACCAGACATTGCAATGCCACCCACTAGTAGGTCTCACCAGTGCTGAACAGATGCTGGCACTGTGAACTTTGACCTCCAGAACTGTGAACTAGATAAGCCTCTTCTCTTTTCTTGTTTCTTGTTGAAGACATTATTTAATCCCAAAGTCACAGCCACCTTTTTGAACTACTCATTCCCTGGGTGTCACTTATGCATATATGAAG